CAGACGGACAGACTGACAGACGGACATGGCTAGATCGACTCTACTAGTGATGCTGATCAAGAATATATATACTTTATAGGGTCGGAGACGTCTCCTTCACTGCGTTGCAAACTTCTGACTGAAATTATAATACCCTCTGCAAGGGTATAAAAATCATTGAAATATTTAATTAAATGGTTAATATTATGCGTTTTTTTTCTGAAGCAGTAGCAGCTTAGCAGTGTTGGAAACGGAACATTATTGGCTCTGTGTCAAATACAAATCGATAGGCGCAGATTTGATGTTTAAAATAAAATTGAATGAACCACTCGAACGCGTAGTACGATAATAATTAACTAATAAAAATTGTTGTAACTGCACTTGACACTGTCTTTCTGGTGGAAGTCACTTATCGTTTTTGGCGCTGCTGCCTGTGTGGCGACTTAATTGTTTGTAATTAAATAAAATTTTACAAGGTCGATTTCAAAAACACACTCCCGGGTCTGGTAATTTGTTTTAATATAAAATGCCGGCCGGCAATTTAATTTGTATCCGAGGCGTCGGAAAATTGATTCCTGCTCATTATTTCATTAAAAGCATTCTGCCAATTGTCTGGAGCTGGGCCAAAGAACCGACTGGCCTATCAAATTGTCTCCCGCGCTCCGTGATTTTCGCTTGCAGTTCGATTTGATTTCATGAATGGAATTGTATCAATTGATTGTTTTGGTCTTGTTATCGTTGCCTTTCGATCGTCGATAATTAAGTCGGGGGTGTGTATGCCCACCCTCTCTCTACGGCTAAATAGGTTAGAATTATTGAGGCTCTGGTGCTCTGCATCGTCTTGGGTTTAATGAACAAATCAAATTGTCTAATAGTAATCCAATTTACTTGATTCGAGATGGTGCCAAGCATTTTAATTGGTAAAACAAGTGCCAATCAATGTGGAAGTAGTTTTAAGTTGTGGAAAAACGTAATTGGGTTAAGTCCCTTACTTAATGGTTTTAATGAATAATTGACAAGTTTTTTAATCTCAAAAAATTCTAAACTTGTAAATTGTTAAAATTTCATTGCTGCCCATGCATGACTTTACCACAAATGGGTTTAAAATCAAAAACCGTATAAAAAACCTAATTCGGAAAAACAATGATTATTTCCAAAACATTTCCAAGATTAAATCTTAAATAGCAACACTGAATTACATTTAAATTATAACGCAACATGATTGTTTGATTACTTTTAAAGCGAAGTTGTAGGAACTAAAATATTACTTAAGGGCTCTCCAAATTCAGTCTTCATAGTATTACTCCCCTTCGCAATTAACACAAATCTGTGAAAAAAGTTATTTAAAATATTAGAAGATTTCATAATCTAATATCAGTTTACAAGAAGGTGTAAATTTCCTCCGAAATAACTTAACAATAAAAGTATGCGATCTATTATCACAACAACTCGGAATTCAAATAAAATAAAAAAGCTAGTCATAAAAATTCCACATATAAAGACAATATAGGAATGCCATAATACATTCTTAAAAATATTCGACTAACATATATTTGTATATAGATGAAAAACAAATTCCGAAATACGTACGCACTGGATTCTGAAACGTAGTCATGGAAGGGATTCCGAAGGGGGTTGGTCATGGGCGTCGGAAGGGGACCGTCGTGACATGCGGGCAAGTTTAAATTGATCTTAACGAAGCTTAATTGATTGTGCCTGTGTGGGCATATGCATGTGAGCATTGTGTTGCTTTGCGAGAGTGTAGCCTACACTTGACGAAATTGGCGGATTGCGAATACCATGTATCAAAATCAAGTCAAGCAGAAGGTTCCATCTCTTTGAGCAGTGTATAGTGGACATGAACGTTTGCTCTGGGGGTATTATTGAATCTGTGAAACGGATCCAAGCACATGTGCATGGTTGGAATACTTTTTTGGAGACAGTATAACAACTCGGTGATAGAAAAACTATTTGTAAAAACAATTCGATCTTTTCTTTTTACTTAAATCTCGACCTTTAAAGTTATAATACAAAGTAAAATTTCAATTATATTGATGGAACTGCCTATTCTAAATGTATCGATAAAATATATAGGTGAAATAAATACGAAAATCTCTTAATTTATAAAAAGAATCCCTGCCGAACCATACCGACCAAACACTGTAAGAGATCCAAGTTTATCGTTTGTTTATTTCAGATATCAACTGGTTTCATTGTTCACCACACACTGAGCGTAGATCTGTTTTATCTTTGGACACGTCGACTTAAGACGAAAGATTTGCTAAGGGAAGTATGCCAATTCACAATGGGCGCTAATGAAGTACACGGTTTGGGGATGGATGGTGGGTTTCAAGAGTCGCTTAGGCGTTGGCGAAGTCAATGCCCTTCTGGATGTTCTTCTTCAGCTCGGGAATGGCGGCCTCCAGCAGCTTCTTCTCGTAGTCGTTGAGCTTGGGCAGGCCGAGGTTCTCCTGGATGCCGCTCTTGCCCAGCACCAGGGGTGTGGAGAAGAAGGTGGCCTCCGTGACGGTGGACTGAACGTACGAGCACTCGACCACGTTCTTCTCGCCGTTGAGGCCCTTCAGCAGGGAGCCGGCGAAGCGGGCGCCAGCATAGGCCATCGAGAGGGTGGCGGAGCCGGCTCCAGCCTTGGCCTTGACCACCTCGGTACCGGCCTCCTGGATGCGCACGGTCAGTTTTTCGATGGTGTCCTGGTTTCCTTTGAAGAGCGGCTGGCTTTGGGACAGCACGGGCAGGATGGTGACGCCGGAGTGGCCACCGATCACGGGGATCTGCACGCTCTGGGGATCCACACCCAGGGCATGGCCAATGAAGGCGCGGGCACGTACCACATCCAGGGTGGAGACACCGAACAGACGCTTGGGATCGTAGACTCCAGCCTGGATGTACAAAAGGTATAAGAATTCCGTCTCTTAAGGTTTGGTTCATCTCACCTTCTTGAGGATCTCGGCAGCGATGGGCACGCAGGTGTTCACCGGGTTGGTAATGATGGCCACCAGGGCCTTGGGGCAGTTCTTGGCAATGGAGTTGGAGATGTCCTTGATGATGCCAGCGTTCACGTTGAACAAGTCATCGCGGGTCATGCCGGGCTTGCGGGGCACACCAGCGGGGATGACGACCACATCGGATCCTGCAAAAGGTAGGCAAACATATTGGTCATTAATTGCCCGGACACACTTTGAGCTTTGATCTTTTATGGTTTCAATCTCCGTGGCTACTGCCCTGATAAGTACCTGCTTCTGATTACGTCGTTATAAAAACCAATAACCTTTACTCTTTGCGGCTTATCTTATCAGAGCATACAATTAGGTTCATGCAAATCACATGAAAAAGCTTTTAATTTGAAGGAACAAGTTTTTTTAACTTTTTGAAAATTAATGATTTTATTTTATTTTTATATAAAAAATTATTTTAGCTATTATAAAAAGCACTTTTGGATTTTGTGTTATTTTTTCTTTAAATAATTTTTATAGAATAATAAATATAATATTCTTCTTTAACTTGCTAAACAATATAAAAAAATAAAAGAATAATAATTTTGTTTATCAAAGCTAAAATATAAATTTTATTTTGAATTATTTTTTCTAATAATTATTCATTTTTTGATTGGTGCGATAACATTTTTTCTAGTATACTATAAGTTTTTATAGTATGCGACTCAAATGGCATCAATATTTATATTCTATAATATGTATAATTATTATTATAAAAATTTATTTCTGCTTTTTTTTCTCTTGATGAAGTGTTTGGTAATTTAAATTAATTATAATTACAGAGGAAAACAGCACTAGTTTTATTCTATTGATTTTATTATAGAATGAGAAATCATACTTTGCAGTAAACATTTAACAAAACATTTATATTATGCTTCTAAAGTCAAAAAAAAATCGACAGCTCAGTTAGCATTTACTTATACCATTAACATATCAAAATTTGGTGATAGTAACTAATAAATTAGTTTTTGAAATATACTAAAGTTAAACCATTAAGCTACAAATTAGTGCATATAACGAGTGATAGCCGTCGGTTTATCCCCCGCCGCTTCTCACCCCACCAATCCCCCTCCCACTCTTTGCAAATTTTCCACTCGCAGCCCCTAGTCACATAACCTCACTCGCGGCCCCTGCCCTCTACTCACCCTTCAGGGAATCGCCCAGCTGGTCGGCACCCATGAATCCGGCGGTCTTGCTTTTGGTGTCGATGTGGGACAGATCGGCGGCCACACCAGGCGTATGCACAATGTCGTAGAGGGCCAAATCGGTGACCAGGGGATTCTGCTTGAGGAGCAGCGACAGCGGCTGGCCAATTCCTCCAGCGGCGCCGCAAACGGTCACCTTGTAGTTGTTCTATATCGAAATTGGGAAATATATAACCCATTGTTATGTCAGGTTTCATAATTATAGGCTCTTATAGGCTCTGCATCTAGATGCAGTGTCATCCGGCTGTTACGTAAACAGTTGCAGTGGAGTGGTGTTGGGCCGATTCTGGCCGGGATTTCGCTAGATACGAGGCTCACCTGCTGACCAACCGAAAAGGTGCGCACTCCCTGCAGGGCCAATTGCTTCGTCACTTGCTTCAGCATATTTGCAAGGTTTTTTGGTACAAAATATTGGTTAAACAATTAAACGAGAGCAGTTCTGCCAGCAAAATCCCACGGGCCAATGAAACAGATTTGCAAATCTACATTGTTGTTGTTGTTGCTGCGGTGGCGGGGGTGAACAGGGTTGCTTTAATAAAAAGCTTTTTCTTGAACTAAAAGCTTTTGCTTAAATAGTTGTTTTGGTTCGAAGGTAAGGGACTAAATTAAATATATGTAACTTATTCAATCTTAAGTTATATTTTATAATAACTCTGGAGGGGTGTCTGCTTTACTCATTTTCATTGGACCACGCCGGGTCGCAAATCAAAATTTGAATTCAAACTTGCGTATATCGATGACATACTAAATAACTAACAGTCAACGGGAGCTGCCAACTTAGTTGCAGGTACTTGTGACACTTTTCAGCACTGTTCTTCAATTGAGCCGGAGATATTTATTTATTTTTGTTTTTGTTTATTAACTAAACTCTGGCAGTTGCATTTTAAGTGAAGATATGAAACTGAAGTCCCAAGTAGTCGAGAATTCAAACTGTTAAAGGTTAGCTTCACAGATAAATAACTAACTGCCTCATAAATTTCTCATTTTCATTATTTAGTGAACCCAAACTGAACCACAAAAATGTCATCCTTGCGCCTAACTAAACAGCAACACGACCATTTAAGTCTGCTGCAAAGACCTGCTGGCGATGTGGTTGAGCTGTGCAAGTCCGCCTTCGATTACCTAATAAATGGACCCAATCCCAGCCGCTACGAGACGTTGGCCAAGAAGTACTCGGATTCGGGAAGCGCAGAGGCAGTGCAGCAGGCTGTGGAGGCGCTTATATCCCTGTTGATAAGCGTAACCACCCGGGTGGGAGGTGACTGCGTCAATATGCAGGCGATCCTACGCCAGACATTTCCCGATCTCGGCGACGATGTGCTGGAGGTCCTCGAACAATTTGTCACCAGCAAGCGAAACTTTGTGGAGGGCTCGATAAAGTCAGCCAACATACGTGCCTATCGGCTGGTCAACCTGGACTGGCGACTGGAGGTGCGCACCGCATCACGGAGTCTGCTGGAGCAGTGTCATGTGGTGGTGACCATGAAGCTATACCTACACACCGAACCGAAGAACGAAAACCGCGAATTGCTGGCCGTGGACACATCTGGACGCAGTGAACAGGAGCTGAAGGCCATGCAGGAGGACGAGCGGCTGCATCGGAAAGATCTGCTGGTGCAGACCGATGTCAGCAGTCTGGTGCACATGATCAAAACGCTGGAGGACGCGCTGGCCGAGTCCAAGACGCGGCGCATTCGCAACATAGTCGATGCCATACACTGATATGACTCCAGAACTCACAATCTTGTTAACGCTAATTTAATCTGGACCAATTTATTACTACTAAAGCTAACTAGAAAAGGGATTGCCTTGTAATTGGGAGGCGGCCAGAGCTTCGGCGGCGGCTGACTTCAGAGCAACCTTCTTGCGTTGGCGGTTTTCCTTCTTCTCCTCGGGCGTTTTGCGCAGCGCCTTGACGCGACGCGTTTGAATGGATCCCGTTTGTTGCTTGCCCAGATGGACACGTCCCTTGGTGTTGCCTAGAGCATCCGTGCTGATGTTCTTCTTCTTGCCAACCCTAAGCTGCTTGGGCTGCTTGCGTGCCTGCTTGTAGAGATCCTCGCTGGCGATTTTAGTGCGACGTATGGCAAAATCAGCCGATGGTCCAATCTCTTCCAGCTCAATGCGCGGCGTCTTTTGGCCGGACTTCTTCAGTAGAATCCGGTACGAACGCATCAGGATGTTCATGTCGTCGGTCACAGTAAAACTGAGGACGTGCTCGATACCCTGCAGGCGAATCGAGTCCACCTTTTCACGCTGGAAAGTGTCGATGAACAGGTTGCGTAGGCGCCTCAGTTCCTCGGTTTGAGCCCATTTCGGGCCATTAAACACCAGGCAGGGCTTAACACAGGCACCAATCTTTTCGTTCTTAAACTCGGAAATCGCCTGATACCGCTTGATGCCCAACTCAAACATATCCAGCACCTCGTTCTCAAAGATTCTGCCCAGGATGATGTTGTCTGGTCGCTTTTTCGATGTGGAACCAAACGAGAACAGAGCAGCATCGTTCTTCATGGTCAAGCTGGCGGCCAAAGTAATGTTTACGATTAAGAGTTCACTATTTTGGGTTAACGAAACTTACAACTCCAGTGAGGAGGGATCGTCAAAGGGTGTTATGTCGTTCTTGCGGTTTAGGATCTTCACCAGCGGCTTCTTCAGCGCTTGCAGATCCTTCATGCACAGTTTCACGTTGCCACCGCATTTCCGTCCATCCAAAAAGAGCATAGTGCGGGCGGATTCAATTAGTTGCGGCTCCCTGGCCAACAGCACCTTCTTTCCCTTGCGGGTTTTGGGTTTCCTGAAATTAAAATCAGTTGCATTTCTTTGTTTTTTGTTAGATTGTGGTGTGCTGTTCACCTGATGCGTAAAAGCGACATATTAGTACGCGTTCTAAATTAAAAACTAAGCGAAATAAAGTACAATTCAGGCACGCACGTGTAAAGACGCTGCGCAACTAAAGATGACACTATCGATAGTAATGACGGTTTGGCTCTAGTCGACCGCATCGATAGTTTTTATTTTATCAAAAATGAAATAATGTTTTTATCAAAAAATCTACCCTACATTTTAATAATTAATTTAAGTCTTAAGTCTAGAAAACGTTAGAAGCAATTTGCCTATAAACTTTGAATTGTTTTCTGTTCTACAAATGTCATCTCAAACTACAATCAACAGTTGCCTTTCACCCCCAAGAATGTAGCCATTCGCCCCGAATTAAGTTGGTATTCACCTTGAATAACAATTACATGTTCGCCCAGTACGTTTCTTCGTCGGTTGTAAATAAACATTTGATAATGTATATATAATTATGCTGCGCAACGGCCAGAATCAAGCGCATTTGCTAGCCCGGAGCCTTGGGCAGCTGACCCGGGGAATGGCCAGTTCAAAAAGGACTGCCAGTAAACAGGAGAAACAGAACCCTAAACTGCCAAAGCCCTCAACAGTAGAATTGCCGCTCGAGGAACCTTTAAATGCCAGTTATTTGTCCAAAACCCTGGGTAAGCCAGCACTTTAAAGAAGGCTTGTGCATTTAATAAAATTCATTCATAGGCAGCAACTATAAGGCCTGGGCTACTGCCCTAGAGAAGCACCCCGAACTGAAGACGGTGAAGCGCAAGGACCTCCTAAACTCCTACGACACTCTCAAAGACCTGAAATACAGCGTGGATGACATCCTGGGCAGGCCAATGATAATCTACTACGGAGCTACCACGCTGGCTAACCGGCACAGTGTCTTGCAGGAGTGCGGCTTCCACAACGTGACCATCCAAACGCTTGCCAAATATGTGACCGTGGTCAATAAATCGATAGAAGTCCTCAAGGCGCAGAACTATATCCCTTTCGATGTGAAGGTGGCAGAGCGTCTGGCGGGGTTTTTCACGGACATTAACCTGCCGGTGGATATGCGGGAGCTGGACAGCGAAAGCATCACGTTGAAGGGCTTGAGGCAATCCCTGCTGAACGCCTACTTGCGCGAACGCATTCAAATGGACGACAACGACCTGCAGAAGATGTGGCGCGTCTACTCCCGGGTCCGCCACAAGAGCTTCCGCGCCGTGCAGGACACTGTGGAGCTTCTGACTAAGGAGCTAAATTTTACCGCCGAGCGGCTGAAGAAGAATGGCTTTCTGCTCTACTCGGACGCAGATAATGTGCGACGCATTCTGCGGGAGATACCTACCATCGACTCGCAGGACATCCGTGAAATCGGCTTCCGTCGGCCCAAGATACTGATGTCCACCTGCGATAGCTTAAAGCAAACCCTGCAACACGTCCATGCGTTTGGCATCAGTGAGGATGCTGTACTGCGATGCCTGGAGGTGCTCACCCTGGGACCGGATACGGTGCTGGAAAGATTAAGGGATCTGCAGGACATTGAGGAGTTCCAGGTGCTCGGCACCAATCCGCGAGTGCTGCGACTGGTGCACTACCAAAACAAAGCGCGGTTGCGCTTAGATTACCTCAATCAGTTAAGGGTCCGTTGCGCTTCCCTTCATATCCTCTCCTGCGGTTCTGAGGCGTTTGCCAAGTGAGTAATTATGAAGTGCCAAGCTATTAACCATCACATAACTCCATTGCACATTGCAGATTTGCAAGAGATGGTTCAGACCGCACTAAAGGCCGCGATATTGTGGTATACTTGGGCAACGTTTTGTCCAAGGATGTACAAGTACTGCGCAATCTGCTTTCCCGTCATCCAAACTGGTGCCATATACCATTGCTGCACGTAAAACAGTGCCTGGAGTACCTCCTCAGCAAGAAGTTTAAGCTAACTGAGATCTTTGACAACATCCACTTGCTTTTGTATCCCATGTAAGTGATATGGTTTCTTTAACAAGTTTATGTTATAACCATCCCATCCGCCAGTAAACGCATTGAAGAAAAGATGCTTCTGCTGCAGTTGCCCGATGCCCAAGAAGAACTTCAATTGCCTGTGGCGGATTTCCATTCACTAAGCAACAACGAGATCCTAACTCTCATTCTCTACCTTATCGAATCTGAGTTTCACTTCACTGGCGATGGCATTTGGACGGAGCAACACACACATCACGTGGAGAACTTCAACAATCTGCTGCCTGACTTCCCCGAGAGCCTCAACAAGGTCTACAAGTACGGCGTGAAACCTGCCGATAAGCTGGTCATGCAGCATTTATAGGCGCCACCAATAAAATTTGTAAATAGTTTGTTATTAGAATTGGCAAAAATAATGAAATTCAACTTGAAATCTAGTTTGGGTCCTCCCAATTTGTTCTATAAAGTTTTGTTCAATTTTCAATTGCTAAATATTTCGAAATCTTAATGTTCTAACCCGTACATTTTTTGATTCCGGAAATTTGAGGCTTATCTTTTTGATAGTTCTCATTTTCTTGCTTCAAAGCTTCTTGGTAATTAGACTATACACCCGACAGCCTTCTATACAACTCTTAGCTTGTTTGGCTCATCACCAGAAAAAATAATCGTCATAAATAAAATTGATAGTTTAACATATTATGTTTATTATTTTTAATAAGCATAAGAACTTTTCTAAATTTACCGTAAACACTTTTTATTGGCAGTGCCCTTAAACAGCTTTACAAAGAGAACTAAAATTACTCCGATTCCAACTTAAGACCGGCGAAACTTGTCTCCGTTTCCGTGATCAACTCATCCTCGTTTACCTTCAAGGGAGCGCATCTTGTCCAAAAAGTTTCGTCATCGTTGGCTGGCAGGGATGCCCCGGGAAAAGTGTGCAACGACAAGTCATTGAATACATTGTGGTGTTCGTAGTCGTCCTCCAAGGGTGTTTCTGTGCAGTGTTCCACTATTCTTGTTATATGATCATCCTGGCTTCTCCGCGTCATTGTCAGCATCTCAAAGCTGTTTGAGATGAGAAAAACGTTGGGTAAAGACTCCCTCTTCCAGTTGGACCACAAGATGTTGTGCATTAGAGCGTAGGGGCAGTGGGGCAGATAGTAGAGCGTAGGCACCTTCGCTTCCTGTTTCCCTGCGCAGTCTTCGCTCATTACACAGCCGTCGAACAGGCGAATCAGTTCCATTTCGCTATCCCTGAAGACGGGATCAAAGTAGAGGGCCTCCTTGATATTGTGGTGCCGCTGTAACCCGATCACAAAGGCAGCCTGATGAAGAGCATGGTAGGTGCGCGAAAAGGGTCCCAGACCCAGGCAGACAATCCGTTCCAGCGGCTTTTTAATGCCTTCCAGCTGCTGCTGCAGTGCTTCCATGGCCACTAGGAAGTAGTCGCTCTGGCACATCTCCGTGCACAAGTTTTCCAGGCGTCTGAAACAATTTTGCTGTTGGTCTCAGAGACTGTGTGTTGCTCGCATACTTACGGTTGGAATTTCTTCAAATCCACATCCGGGCAGTCGTTCAAATAGTCGCTTTCGGACTTGTGGCGATCCCGTCGCCTGAGGCACTTGCGGGCCATCCATTTCTTGCGCGTTACCACCTGGAAATCCTGACCAGAGTTCGACATTCCAAAAGGTAAATAAACATGTGTCTTCTTCTATGCACCTCGCTTAGTGTGACCATTTGTCTGGAAGTACGGTGATACACAGCCAAAAACAGCCCTTCGTATCAAAATTGTTATAACCAATTTGATTTATTTTAATTGGTTTTAATATTATATAAGAATATGTGTGTTGTAAATTGAAAAATATATTAATTCATCCTTTTTAAGTTTCATGGAAATTAAAATCACAATTAAATCTCAAAATATCAATTCAACTTAATATGAATAGTTTGCAGTATGTAAAATAACACCGGATAAATATTTATCCGATTTTTTGAGTGTATCAGCTGTTTCCTCTGATTCTTCTTGCGCCGGCTGTATTTAATTTTTTGTTCACTTACCATGAACGATCCAAACAAAGCCATCAGTGTGAATCTCTCCTCGCTGCTCAGCTTGAAGGCGGAATTGCTAAGAAAGCAGCATGAAGTCAGACTGGCCAAGGCCACCAAGGCATCCGCCACTGAGTTCCGGCCCAGCAAAAGCAGCAGCGACAACAAGGATAAGTCTACAGATCGCGGCTACAAGAAGGTCGAGAGCAGCAACGACGGCACCAAGGTTTACGAGGCGGAGGACCAGGCTCAGTTGGACAAGTCCCGGCGCGTCCTGGAGGCCAAGAGCAAGTTCTACGACCGGATGAGCCGCAGCGGCGGCAACCTAAACTCCGATGACAACTGCCTGGTGATGTTCAATCGCAAGAAGCAGGAGGCGGACCAGGAGCAGTCGCCGCAGAGGTGTGATTCCCGCCAAAGGCTAAGCAGCAGCAGCAGTTCCAGTTCCAGCGCAGAAGATGAGGGTCAGGACGATGACGAGGTGGAGTTCGTGGATTGCCTGGGACGCACAAGAAAGTGTATGCGAAGGGACCTAAAAGAGGCTCAGCGACGCGACAGGCAGCTGGCCGACAGCATGCCGGAGCGCCTGGATCAGACCAAGGCCAACTGGATGATAGACACCAAAGGCAGTCGCGAGCAAGGCAGTGCCCACAACAGCGATAACGACGATGATGGTGAGCCCATCATTGGACCACGGCCCACGGAAAGTGTCTTCAGCGATGCCCTGTCCACAATGACCAAACACGATGAGCAGCGCTTGAACTGGGAGCGCAAAGAGGTGGAGAATTTCGACAAGCCCGATGTCCACTACCAGGATGTCTTCTTCGATGAGGCGCGCACTCACGGCGTTGGCTACTATGCCTTCTCCACGGACGAGGATGAGCGCAGGAAACAGCAGCTGGAGCTGGACGAGGCCCGCAAGGCCACGAACGCGGAGCAGAGCCGGCGGGACGAGATGCGCGCCAAACGGGACAGCCTCGTGGCCGACCGCGTGCTGGCGGCCAAGAACAGGATACGGGCACGCAACGGCTTGCCACCGATCAGCAAGGAGGACTACGAGCGGGAGCAACAGCAGAAGAATGAGGAATCAGCGGCCGAAGCCGCAGAACGTGAGCGGGGAGAGCAGGAAAAGCAGGCAATAATTAATAAAAAGAAGGCAAAGGAGGAAGCCGAACTGGAGGAGTTACGCAAGGACCACGTACGCGATTGGGACAAGGACAAGCCTGGTGTGTCCAAAACTCGTCTCGACGCGGATGGCGAAGAAGCTCCGGAGGAAGAGTGGAAGTACAAGGCCGAGCGGCTGCCCATGTCCCAGGAGGAGTGGAACGAGAAGCAGCGGTCCCAGCGGCAAGCAGAGTTTGCTCCCATGCAGGAGCCCGTTTCCCTTAAGCGCAGCAACTTCAGCAGCATGCCACCACCGCCGCCAGCGGTGTGGCACAGCGGCCAGGAGCCGGAGTTTCACAGCTTCCACAGCACCAGGCAGGAGAAGAAGTTCCAACGACGCAACTATACGGCCTGCAACGATGATGATCACGATCAAGTGCCCGGCCCTTCCATCCGTGGTGGTCTGGGTGCAGCCATTCCTCCACCTCCTGGTTTGGATGACTTCGCTGCATCACCCACAGCGAAACGGTCCAAGTCCCAGGCCGATCTAGAGCGCTCGATCGAAGCGGGTTTGCGCTTCCTGCGCGACAACTGCGACAAGGGCGTCCTGGGCAACAAGGCCACCTGGACGGCCAAGGCGGATTACTAAGTTAAGGCAACGCATACCCTTCATTTATTGTTTATTACTTTGTGTAAAGAATACTTTAGAAAAACACAATACGCCTAGACAAGCTTTCTATTGTCTCGGTTCTTTAGGCTAATTTCAACATATGTTTTGCTAAATTTAGCTACGGCTAGATCAAATATTTTCACAATTCCTGTCGAATGTTAAGGCCCTGTGCCCAATTCCATATCGATTAGATTATCGTAATGGAAATTTTGCTTTTCCAAACCGAAACAGTAATTTTGCCAATTCAGCAGAGTTCGTTTGTAAACGAAAACGGGAACCAAAAATTAAAAACTGAAACAAAAAATACAAATTCTAATTCTATTCTATATTGGCCTCGGTTGGTTTTCTCATCTAGCAGTTAAAACTAAAACTAAGAAAAATAAGTGAATCTTAAGGGCAAGTGTTAACTGGGTCGCAGGGCCGTGGAATTGGCTGCTACATAAACATAACATAAAGGTAGCGGGGGTACCCTAAACGTACAAAGTCTTGCTATGCTAATGGTAATATTTACTAACTTGCATATAACTAAGGGTTAAGTGAGAATCAACTGGAGCACGCTATCTGAGCTGGTTTATTATTGGTAGTTGATGTTTTGGGCAGACAGCAAGCGTTCCGTTTCGTCTGCAGTGTGGCCTAGAGCATGTCCCGGTCCACCATATCGATGACTATCTCAGACATCTTCTGGCGGCACAGGTCGTTGGGTGGAAAATTGAGCGCGGGCGCGCCCTCATCCTCCTCGTCATCGTCACTGCGTGTCAAGTACATATCCGGGGCGTCCTCCGAGGAGCAGGTGCTAATCGGCAGGATGTCCATGGCCAGGCCAAGGGCAAAGCGTCCGTAAGTCTTCAGCTCCTCGGCAAAACTAGAGCAGTAAACGAATTCAACATCTATTAGTTGATCACATTATTCATATCACATGCTTACAGGTCCTGCAGTTTCTCCAATGTGTCGCAGTGTTTCGGCAATGTCGTGCACAAGATTTGCAGCCACCGGAACAGCTCCACCGTGTACGTTTTGAGCAGTGTCTGCAGCTGGGCATCCCGCATCTCCTTGGTGGTGCAGCAGTACAGCAGATTGGCAATGTCCAGGGCAATGGAGCTGTAGCGTATCAGCTGGAAGTCAAGCAGAGCCACCTCCAGCACCCGTTGCGGATCCTCCGGGTCGTAGTGGTAGAGAAAGTTGTTGACCCAACAGTCTCCGTGGCAGATGGCCGCCAGCGGGGACTCGGCGCTGGCCAACTGCACCATGCGGCCAAAGAAGGATGAACTCTCGGCAAAGTTGCTGATGGCCAGAACATACTTGGAGTCCGCCGGCAGCACCTCGGACACCATCTGAATGGCGTTCTTAGTCAGGCGCTCGTAGTAGTTTCGATACCAACTCGTATTGGCCGTGCAGAAGATGCCCTCGCTGATCACGCTGCACAGCTTGCTAAATTCCAGTGGCTTCTCAAACTTGTACGCCAGACTCAGGGCGTGCAGCTGGGCCACCTTTATCAGGACGGACTGCGTCTCCTCCAGACTGAGGCCTTTATGGCGGTCGGACATCTGAAAGCCCCGTTCGCGAAGATCCTCTGCGGAAAATGAGGGATTAATTAACGTATTTATTGTATATAGTCCCAACAAGTCTTATTTATTTAATTTTAAAATTGTCATTTTTGTAAACATTTGGATAAATTTCTTTTACAAAATAGTACGTTTAAAATGAAAAATATTGCATTTAGATATTTAAGTTTTTCACGTCAAATTTAATAGTATTTAAAAAATCTTGTCAAGGGATCTGTGCAAAAAACATTATTACTAGCTTTTAAAGGTTTTAAATATGTAATAGAATCAAACGTTTTGAAATAATCGTAGGTTACAACTTAAAAACAATACAAATTAAATCAGAATGGATAAGTCTTACAAATTATTTTACGTTCTAAATGTAAAATATTGTATTCTAATAATTAGTTGTACAGGTTCTGTACAATAAATTATTGTTATATAATTGAATCAAAAGTTTGAAATGTATCGGAAGATACAGTTTCAAAACATTTATGAGAATCTGCTAGACTTGGAATTAATATTGCCATTGATAGTTACCCATTATGAGCAGATCATGCCTGGCCGAATAACACTTGGGAATGGCACTGAACACGGGTGCACCCTGGTCCGTTTTGCTGGCCTGGAATTTGAGCAGCTCCGGCATGATGGTGTTGTAGAACTCCACCTCGTTGCTGTCGAATGAGAGATGATAAGAGTGAAATATTGCGAGGATGTGGGCCAATGGAGCACTCACCGAAAGAGCTTGTCGCTCTTGTAGGCCTCCCGGGCGACCAGGCTCTCCGGCATCACCTTGCAGATGACGTTCTGTTCCCACTTGAGACTCCTTCGCTTTCCAGTGAGTTTTATGCGATACAGGGCGGCCGTATAGTTGTCACCTCGGTCGGAGCCCATGGCCAGCTGCAGAAAGGACATGTTCGTAATGATTTCATAACCGAAAGTTTTCCGCACCCAAAAACCTTACCTCAAAGGCATCGATCTGCACATCCGGTTCCACGTGCTTGAAGATGTCCTGGAACGCCTCCAGTGACAGCATTTGTTTGCCCTCCACGGCATTTGCCGCTCCCATTCCGGTTGTTGTTGTTGTTGCTGTTGCTGCAGTCTCCGTAATTCCCATTTTCCCCGGAGTCCTGGCTTTCTCAGGAATCGTTTTTTTTTCAGTTCCGGGTACAAATAATGTTAACACGTGAGCACGATGCACTTTTCTTTTTTCGGTGCCAGGTTTAAAAGTTTATTCATCGATTTTACTCGAATATACCCCGCTACGAAATTCTTCTTCTTATTTTGTCGTCCTTTTTCTTACGTTTTTCGTGCTTTCGTCGTCCTTTATGCAGTTGCAGCCCTGAGCCTTACGTAACGCAATACGGTCTTACGTTGCGATTAAATTGAATTATGTATGTGTTAGCGGTGATTTTATCTAAACTGCATTTTAAATGATCAACTTTATATAGTCAAGCTATTTTCTTAACGGTTACATTTCATTAACATTTATAATACAAGAGCTTAAAATAATATTAAGTAGGAGCTGCCATTTTAAGGTAGTGTTGCCACACTGCCACAAAATTCTAGGCTGTTACTTAACATATTTTAATATCAGCTCCCGATCTCAACAGCTTCAAAAACAGCCCCGGCGGTTAACCTGTACAAAGGATTATTTAACATTCGAGAATTTTACATAAGTTCACTTTTTTTCCGCCAGGGGCGATAATGAGAGTAAGGATATATTCAACCAGCCAAATAGCCAAAGCGCCACCTATGTCTCAGTATGCGCGGCATAGCTCGTTAAGCGTCATCTAAGAGTAATTAATTTTAGGTTGTGTCTTGACTATATGGGGATCCACCATTGTCGCCCCTGACGGGAAAAAAGTGAACTAATGTAAAATTCTCGAATGTTAAATAGTCGTTTTAACTGGTTAACTGCTGGGGCTGTTTTTGAATCTGTTGAGATCGGGAGCTGATATTAAAATATGTTAAGTAACAGCCTAGAATTTTTGTTTTACATTACCTAGCATTTAATCTGGTAGCGCAGGCGCTGTATTTGAACCGGTTGAACGCGGGAGCTGGTTTAAAAACAACAAACAAACTACATTTTTTCTTAATAATTTTGACTATGTAAGAACATTATAAAAATTTAAAATTGTCAGCTAATTTTTTTTTAGTAGTCTATGAATAATATATATTTTAAATTTTTATTTAAACAGTTTTAGAATGTTTAAGAATAATATATAATTATAATATATAATTAATAAATATAATAATATATAATTACGGTCTTTAGTTGGATTAGTCAAATGTTTCTAAGAGAGACTTTAGTTAAAATTAGAAGTTTCGTTATCCTATCTCTGTGTATACAGAGACTATTTTTTAGGTATAGGAAAAAGTGCATGTGTTTTTGGTGACAGAAATCTTGGGATACAGAACCATACACACTGAACATTTCGATGAAACCCATGGCTTGACTGAATCCCTCTTCAACCCCAATAAAGGCCGAACGCATTAGTTGTAGCTACTAGTATTGCATATCCCATTCTATCGAGGTGTCATCCGCCTAAATAAATTAACCGGGGAAAAACTTCTATACGTTTAAGTAAGAAATGCTGTGCTGATTTACGCCGTCATGTTGCATCGAATCTAAAACATGGACTCTGCAAGCTGAAGCCGCCATTTTCCCGCCAATGTCGGTTTTTATCGCAAAATTTTCTCGACGAGTTTAAGGCGACATGAAGAGATTTGAAAAACGGAGTGGAAGTCCCAAGAATTTGGTTGCCCGTGCGGTTTTATCAGTCCATCATTGAGTTTCGTTGCTAACCAAAACCGACACTGCCGAGTAGCCCAAAAGATTGAAAACCTCGGCTTACCGGTTGGTTTCCATACGTCAGCAGAGAATGGAGACACTATCTCGTCTTATTAATAGGAGGAACTCATCCTTGTGAAAACAGAAAGACTCAACTGGATTTCAAGAACCAAGACGCTAAGGACCCTAATCAAAAATTCAACCTTTTTAAGATAAAGATAAGTGTGAAGTAGATAATTATTTCAAGTGCAGCTATAGGGATCAATTATTTTAAGTTTTCAAATTAGAGTATTAAAAATCTAAAATACGATAAATGAATATTTTTGATTTATCTTAATTGCAGTACGTTTAGATTGTATATTTAACTAGTATAATTGAGTTTTTGCTTACAAAGTAGTCTTGAAAAATGAACATTTGATGTTATTAGTATTACAAGTGGCTTATGCTACCGTTATGTATTTTGAGAAGTGCCGCTGCTGCTGTCAACATTTGAAGTATCCTGGCTTATCAGCCGTGCTGGGCTTGGGCGTTTCGAACGCCATCACTATCGAGTAGATTTAGATTCAGAACCATTGGTGCCAGTCGATACGGGATCAGTCCATGAAAGCAAAATAACTCATATCTGGGCCTCAGGCCAATTAGAATTGACCATTTTTGACTGGAAAATTAAAAAGTTTGTAAATTAAGTATGTCCGTTAATTTTATAATTGTTATTTTTAAAATTTTGTAAAAGCTATCTTTTTTTTGGCATGCGCAAAACAAGTTTTAAAACAAGACTATATTCTACAACTACAAATTTACAAGCATCATTGTGTTTTTTTTTTTAAAGGGCATTATGACATGCCTAATCAAAGTCGTACATCATTATACCTTAGCTTATATGGAAACTGATAAAGTTAAGATAATTATAATACAAATTACGGCTTAAGAATGGATCTTATATCAGACATAGCGATAGGAAAAATATGTGTTTTGAATTCTTAATTGATGGTATACCTTTGGGGCAATAAAGCCTCCAGCTTGGCAACGTGTAGTCGCTCACCTAGCCAGTTTATTATATTTATTTTGGCTGTTGATTCATCACTAGTCCCAGGTCCTCCTGCACTTTCAGGACCAGAGGAAGTGGTCGCTGTGGCCAGGTGCGCCGCTGAAGCAGTGACTCCGCCGTGACCAATTGTCGCTGCAGCGCCTCGATGCTGGGATAAATGGTCTGCTCCACAAACTCCGTTACCGTGTACTCGTCGTACACCTCCCACAGCAGCTGCTGTGCCTCCCGCGCCATCATGCGCAGCTCCTCGATGAGCATCGGCGATCTGGCGATCAGTTCCCGCACCCTAAGCGGCGAACTGAAGTTATGCCGCACATTGTAGTCCGAGAGCCAGGCGCTCTGGTCCTTCGTTTGCTGCAGATAAAGCTCGATCTCGGCCAGCTTGTCAAAGAGGCGCAGGGCGTACTTGAATACCATGTGACCGGGATAGTTGCACAAAGAGAATAGCTGGCTGTGATGGGCATTTGGATGCAGTTCCAGCCAGGGACGACCCGATCGCCGACTGTCCGGCTGGAAGACGCACTGCAGGACGCGGAGCAGTTCGTTATCCTTGGGATTCGTACTAAAGTAGCCCTTCGAAACGGTGGACAGCGATGTCATCAGACTGGGCATGCCCACCGGCAGGAGTTCACAGAGCACGGCAAAGTGATCGTACCGCTGCCAGCCGGTCAGGGCCAGACCCCGCAATCCCTTGGAGAACCTACCACCCTCCTTGGCAATCACGGCCAGCCAGCGGATGTTGTTCTCCAGATGGTGCTGCAGCGGCGGCACCATCAAGCTCTCGCCGAAGGCGCCCTTGAAGGCGGACGCCGTCCAAGCTCCGGGGAAGACCTTGGCGTAGGTGTCCCACAGCTGGGGCTGGATGAAGCGATAGATGTCGCTGGCATACACCCACACCATCGGCTCCACGTAGTTGCCAATCTGCGAGTGCTGCAGCTCGCTGAGCGACATCGATCGCAGCTGGTCGTCCCAAATGACCACTCCCAGCTGCGGCCACTGCCGGCGGATGAAGTGCCCCAGACTGACCACGTGCGAGAGGAAGAGCTCACTGCGCAGCCTCTGGCGGCAGCTGTTGCACTCGCCCATGCGCTGCACCTCGTCGCAGCCGATGTGGATGTGGGTGAACCGAATGGGGGCCGTGGGCACGGCGGAGACGGGAGTCGCCTGGCCCAAGCACTGCAGATGCAGCTCGATCACCTGGCTGAGCATTTGCTCCAGCAGCGCCATGCTCTGCGGCTTGCTGGGGCAGATCGACTGCGGGCTCAAGGCCAGCTCTCGCAGTTGCTCAAAGCCGGACAGCTTGAGCACGTACTCCATGTGCCCGAAAGTTTGGACGAGGGGCATCACGCTCAGCCCGTGGAGAGCAGCGCACTCCAGGAAGTCCTGCAGGGAAACATGTAAGTATTAAGCACACACATTCAATATATAAGAATAAATACATATAAGGGTGTAAGAGGTGTGAAAAAAAGATTCTAAGCATTCGATTTCAAGCGAATTTAGAGCTAACACAAGCCGTTCTTATGAAAGCATAATTAATTTATAGTCTCGATATATTGAAAAATTGTCTATCCCATGAAAGTTTGTTCTTCAGCAAGTGTTTAGAATACGGTTTTTTAGATGGTTAAATAATAAAGCATCCTGAAAAAATCTTGTTGAGGCATTTTAAAATTTTTTGCTGTTTTTGGAATAATTTGGCAAATACTTTAGGGATTATTTTCATTTAAGATATTTCAGAGTAGATTACAGAAACACCCTCACAATTAAACCCGCTCTTACCCTCAGTTCGTCCTCCTTGTATGCATTCCGTGCTGCCAATGGCTGGAGAGCTCCGGTGTAGGGAAACATGTCCTCGTACTCAATGAGCAGACCGGTGGCCCCCAGGGCACGCAGCACAGGCAGCAGTTGCTTGAGGAAGCTTAGCTTGGGCGGGGCGCCCTTCAGGTCCAAGTGCACCAGACGCTCGGCGGGAGGTTTTGGACCATCCGGCCCAATTCCAGCCACCACCGGCACCCCCATCCGCTGGAGCTCGTGCTCGTACTGCGTCTGCCGCTCCGCCGAGCTGAGCATTCGCTCATCCTCCGCATTGGCATTCAGCTCCTCCATCCCGGCGTTCTTTTGGCGCTGCTGCTGCTCCAGGATCTTAAGGCGCTCCTCCTCGAACAGATAGCTCTCGGACATGGGCAGCGGGGCCTTCTTGGCCTGCGTGGGTCGCAGGAATCGCACGTTGCCCAGCCGCTGGACGGGAGAAGGTGACTTCTCGACGGCGTTGTCCTTAAGTCGCTCGGCTTTCAGCAACCGGTTGGCCTGGGCAATCAGCTTCTGGATGATGTGCACCTGCTGGTAACCGGTGGATTGCTGCTGCTGCTGGCGCTCAGAACTGGAGGAGGCGGCCTTTGGCTGCGAGGAGGCGGTTGTCGTATCGATTAGTATGGCCCACGTCCAAAGACCGACGAGCACTAGGCCAGACACAACCAAAAGAAAAGAAAGTTTTCGGCGCCAAATATATATCCACAGATTTGAGTGCATCTGCAATGAAAGAAATAAAGGAAAATGGGTTTAAGTACAGGGCTTTTAAAAAACCAATAAGGGATCAGTCTTTTTTGGAGATTTAAGCTTCTAAGGTTCTTACAGGTTAAATTTTTTTTATTTATATTTAGATTTATATACATATTTCATGAATATATTTATTATATTTTTAAATGTAACAGAAACTCTACCCTGAGTGTAGGGCAGTGGAAAGGTAGCCCCTGCAGGGCATTAAAGTAAAAACTTGCATCACTTTTCATAAATATTTGAAGATCCAACAAGTAGACCCCGGGGTTATGCTATATAAATCCGCCCACAACTGGCGCCAGCAGCAGCACGTTACTCATACGCCACCGTAACCGGCAGAGCAACTCATTGAGGTTGCGTTAAGGGCTGTTTCCATTGTTGTTCTTGCAGTTCTTGTGGGTCTTGGCACTGGCTCTGGCTCCAGCCTTTGTGTTTGCCCAACTCCTGCGGCTGTGCACCATGCTATCGGGTTAAGGAGACTGCAACAGTGGCCGAAAAACTAGATACTCGTTTATATTATTTATGATTTATAGAAGTAAATTTTGTAGATTTGTGCTTTAAGTGAACGAATGAAAGCTACTTGGTATGGCTTTTAGGTTTATTTAAAAGTAAATACATTTTGCCTGAAGATGCTCAGCATAAGAGCTGAAAGTCTCTGGCATGCGACCACAGCAACAGGAAAAGTGGTCTGCCTTATGCTTTTAATGGCTTGGCTGATAGTTTGTATGCATTCTTTTAAACAGGCACAACTGGCAGCTTATTTAAATGAGTCTCTGGCAGAGTCATAAAAGCAGCCTGCATAGGTGGGGATCTTCTACAAATAGGCGAATAAAAGTCAGGCATGGATACGAGGCGTTATTCAGGACCCGCAAGATGGCAGCCAGCAGCCAAACAAAAACGGGCACGCTTCGACAGGCGATAAATGCAAGTGCTCAAGTGGAAATGTGCAGCTGTCTGGCAGGCGGAAATTGAATTGAGTTTTCACATTGGCCGCCAGTGGGTGGTGAATGGTGAGTGGTGGATGGCCCAGCGCCGTTTAGGCCACTTCTCACGCGGTTCGTGGTTCATGGCTCGCGGTTCTTGGCTCGTGAGTGGCAGCAGAGACAATCGCATAACAGTTTTAAGTCTTTGTGGACACTTGTTTGTCGGTTGAGTGAAGTGGTTCTGGTGGATACTCGGCGTGACCACCCAAAAGGTGATTTAATGAGAAGTTTGCTATCCTTACTAATAGTTTGGGGAAATGTTTACATAGCAAAAGAAAATACTACAAGGATATATTTTATAGAATAAAAGTGGTTGTGATAAGCTACTGCTTAAATCTCCATGTCCATTTATAAGTAAATGGTATATTTTATATTTACATATTAAATTCGCCACACGAAGAAAATTTCATAAATTTGTCTAGTTTAGTTTAAGCTATTCCCATTTAACATTGAAGAAAGAATTTTTGTTTAAGATTAAAAACCAAATGGTGGACATTTTTGTTCTCAAGGCACAAAAGATTATAGATATACACAGCAATGTTTGTATAATTTTTCAATCTGAAATTAAGACGACATCAACAGCTGCATAGATTTCAACACATATTCGTCATCAATTTTGCATTTGGTAACTACCCAATCGAAATCCAATTGCTGACCCATTTGGCTTAATCCACAATTGCATTATTTCGCTTTCGCTCTCTCTTGACTTTCCATCGGCTGTTGTTGCCAAACTGGTACATTCAAAAACATTTTCCCTGGGGTATTCCCAATTGGACGAGGCAAAGGGGAAGGCCTAGAAATCGTGTGAGTTTCTCTTTGCTATCTCTATATTTTCCCAGCCACAACAACTACTTTGAATGGGTGCTCTCGTTTTTCAGACGCTTTGTTGGCAAAAGTTCTTGCCAAGGATGCAAAACGGGGAAACCAACACAGTAAACAGAGGCGCCCGAAGGGGGGTTACGTATGTGTGGTGATATGAGCCAAAAACAGAACAAGCACCCTCCACTCAAATCATCTTTCATGTGCTATTTCACATTTAGAAATATTTAAATATCATAAATCGAGATGTTAAATTTACAAAACCCAAAATGCAAAAAGGGATTGGAACAAAACATTTTTTTAATGGAATTCGATCGACTCTAGTGCATTTGATGCACAAATTAAACTGAAGTTTGATTGACAATGTTATCTTCTCAGGTTCAATTTAATTCATATTTTTATAAACTTCCTGCTTTTAACTTTTCTTAATCACAATTTTAATTAATGATCAAATGTCTTATTACAATCAAAAGTAAAGAAGATAAACTATTCCAAACATATGTAATTTTCTATAACTTAAATTCTAAATTACAATTAATATTTTTTATTAATATTAAAATTTTCAAGAACTAAGCAGTTCTTTGGATGAAACTAAATTTCAGAGAATTCACCTTGTTCTCAACCGAATTCCCTTCTCTCAGTGCACAAAATTAATACTTTCCCTTTTCCTGTTCGTTACCGACAGATTCTGACAGGACACATTCTCGACAGGACAATGGATCGGTGCTATTAGCACTCGGCTCATCGGACAGAACCGAACAGACCAGAACAGAACAGAACAGAACAGTTTCGGGCGACTGTTTCCTAAATTAAATGTAATTGCACCACAAAACCGACAGGCCAATTTGCAGTCGCAACTCACTTCGACAGTGGCCGGGGGTTCGTCCATTTGCTGCTGCTGCGGCTGTGACCTCCACCCACTCGTTCAATGGAGAGCAGTGCTAGAAATAGCAGCCATGTCCTCAACACCCCACCAAATGCCGCTGTGAAGTGTCCGCCCACCACAAAATTTGGCAGTTTGCCACAAAAATAAAAACGAAACTGAAGTATTTGCGAAAAAAAGATAGCACGCAAAAATATGAAACATGAAAAATCCTTAAAGCGTGCTCTGACGGGAACTCAAAATGCACTGAAGCGCTGCTCTTGACGCCCAATTCGGAGCGCTAAACGGGCATATTCTATTGGAAATATACAACTGGGCATCATCACTTTATTTTTTAAATATTCATGTACATTACTTCAAATAAATGAATAAAAGCTGTTGGCTTGTATTGCACAGTTTAATTTTGACTGCAGCAAATTAAAATAAAATGTACAATGAACAAAGCAATCAAATGAAAATGATAAGGCTATACAAACTGATAAAATTATGTGGAACCGTTTTGCTTAATTTTTGTAATCTTCAATGTGTAGTCACTCCTCCGAGTTAATTATTCCCGTATTTTACGTTAATAACGGATCGAAATCTTCTTCAGATTAGACCACTGTGCTACTCCTGCTCCTGATTTCCCATTCAGTGGCTCTAGCATCGCTTATATTGCATTCTGTGTCCTGCATTTCAAGCAGCAGAAAATTTGCCTTCCATCTGCGATACGAAAAGGGGAAGAGAAAGCCAGACAAAGCTGCCTTAACATGGCTTAAGGATAAAGCTGCCGGTCAGCCCATAGCTCAATTTTGTGGGGTCTGAGCAGAAAGGTGCACGGTAAAAAATACGCTAGTTTAATAGATCAGGTATATATATGTTGTCACCTTTGAGTTGTAAAGTTAGAAATGTATACAAATGTATTTCTAAGTAATGAGTTCATTTTCCTAAATGTTTTATTGCACATTATTGGGCCACAGTTATATCAAAGTTCCAAGTTAACTCAACCGCTTCCTAGAGAGTTTGGTATCAGTGGATCTTAAGTTCGGCATCGCTTATTTGGCATTTGCTTATTTTATCAAAGGTCTACTGTACTCTGCGCTTGACACGCTCGACGTACAATTCGTAGAGCATCATGTTTTGTAGGTAGTAGGGATTATCATTGGGTCCCAGCTCTGGACAGTACCCGAAATCTTGTGGTTCCAGAGAATCGTCGCTGTCCAAGCTTGGAATGCTGCTTGTGCTATCAACATCTTCATTCAGGTGAATGTCCCTGAAACGCTTTCGGGGAGTCCTGGAATCGCTGGACGAATCGTCTTCTGATTTGCGTTTCAAATTCTGCAAACGTGTAGCCATTCCGCTAGTTGGATATGTAAACAGACTAAGTTGGGAACAATTTTTAAAGTGTTAATACTTATGTACACTTTTCTGTCCTTTTAATGTTCCAGAGAATTCAAAGGCAACTATAGCAATTTCAGATGGAATTTTTTTTAGTGGCATTCCCTTTGTAACAGTCATTTTAAAGATGTTACTATCTTTGGCAAATTGTGGGCTTCAAACTAAGCTTTGCAATTTTCTCAGAATTTAATTTAGTACATTCTCAATTATCGAAATCAAAGTCAACTTTAATAAAGATCCCAAATAAATATTATTAAATAAAAATAATAAAAATAATGGGAAATTTTTCATTAAATTATTGAATAAATAAAAATATATTGCCCGCCTTCACCGAATTTTCGTCAGTGCACAAAGTGTTGAAAGGAGGCTGGCGCTGAGTTGAATACTTGGGCTTGCAAAATATTGTGCTAGTTTCTCCCTCCAGAATCTTATCGGCCTGAGAGCCATAATCGACAATTAGGCCATTTAACGCCTTATTAACGTCCATTAGCAGGCGGCCACTAATGGACGATGATTTGTGGGCCAACCACACCAGAAAATATCCGTATTTTCCCCCTTTTGCCTGCTTCCTCGGCCCGACTCAAGATCCCTCAATGGCCACTCAAATAAATTTCACCAAGTCAGAAGTGCAGCACTTGCCCATGGGGAGAATAATTGGAAACGGTGTTGAGAATTCTGGGATAAGAGGAGCAGGAGTGCTCGCTAGGATTGCATAGGATTTTCCAGTTAAAGTGTATTAGGAATATTAAGAGTTATGGGCAGACCAAGCAAATAAATATACAGGGATTGCCTGGATAGGAAGCCAAATGTTGTTTTTTTTATGCATCCTCTCTATCGAACGCTCTGTTTATAAACAAACACCCAGAAATGCAATGTCATAAACCACTTTAATTCCGCCATAAACTCTTATATTTTGTTGGCAACGGAATGGCACCAAAATTGGCAATCAAATGTATGCAAATATAACACCATAACCGTTTTCCCCTTCCTGCAGTCAAATTTATAATTGGGAAAGCAAACAGACTGTGAATGAAAATGAGAACAAACAAAAACGAAAACGAAACGAAACTTGTCGCCAGCTGTAAGGAAAATATTCTGATTAAACTAGTTCCTATTTTCCCGCCCATTTTTTTTCATCTTAACTAACAAACTTGCCGTGCTGAAGCAAAACTTAGCAAAAACTTCAAAGATTGCCTGAATTCCTGGCCAGTCTTAATAAAATCGTTGTTACCTACTTCATAAGTAAATTATAACTGCAAAACTTTAGAGCGAAAAAAGACCAGCAGAGGAGGCGAAAGGAAGGTCGGGAAATTGTGGGAAATTTAGAACTCAGCATCCATAACCATGCAACACTCAGTTTGTCCGCTCGAAAGCGCTAAGCAGCAAAAAGCAAAACGTAAAAAGAAAAAGCAAAACTGTCACAGCAACAGCTGCAGCGCGAGTAAAAACCCGAATCCGTAAAAAAGTGTCACTTTTGATTGCCCCGACTATGCGACACCATAAAATAAAAAAACATTGGGGTCCCGACTGTATTCTTACAAGCCCACAAAAAATTTAGATGCTAGGTATTACAAAATAAATATTATTTAACATTAATTATAATTTAGTTTTTTGATTTTATACAATTTAAGTTGAGTTTAACAAGAAAGAAAGCAAACTTCGGCAAGCCGAAGTTCATATACCCTTGCAGCTATCGCAAGAATTAAATATTTTTGAAAACATTAAAATTATGATTTACTTGCGTATTTAAACCATAATTCTGAAATATTTAACCATTGCTATATGTCGAAGAACTAAAAAAAAATTAAAAAACAGCAAAGTTATAATTTTTTTCAATTATTTTTCCGATTGTTCCTATGGGAGCTATATGCTATAGTCGTCCGATTTTGATGAAATTTTAACCATAATTCTGAAATATTTAACCATTGCTTTATGTCGAAGAACAAAAAAAAAAATTAAAAAACAGCAAAGTTATAATTTTTTTCAATTATTTTTCCGATTGTTCCTATGGGAGCTTTATGCTATAGTCGTCCGATTTTGATGAAATTTAAACCATAATTCTGAATTATTTAACCATTGCTATATGTCGAAGAACTAAACAAAAAATTAAAAAACAGCAAAGTTATAATTTTTTTTCAATTATTTTTCCGATTGTTCCTATGGGAGCTATATGCTAAAGTCGTCCGATCCGGCTCGTTCCGACTTATATACTACCTGCAATAGAAAGACAACTTTTGGGAAAGTTTCATACAGATAGCTTTAAAACTGAGAGACTAGTTTGCATATAAACGGACGGACAGACGGACAGACGGACAGACGGACGGACAGACGGACGGACAGACGGACATGGCTAGATCGACTCTACTAGTGATGCTGATCAAGAATATATATACTTTATAGGGTCGGAAACGTCTCCTTCACTGCGTTGCAAACTTCTGACTGAAATTATAATACCCTCTGCAAGGGTATAAAAATCAAAATAATTCTAGAACTTATATGCTTAGGATGTAATTCTTTTTGACAAATTAATTAAAACTAAAAAACTAGAAATTAAAAGTTGAAATGTTACTTCAAAATAACTAAAAATAATTAATAAATAACAATTCGCTGTTCAAATTAACTTTTTTAATATTCAGTTTGAATAAACCTATTTCCATTTGCAATAATAAGTCCTATAGATATATTTTTAGTTATTGGGCAAAACAATTTGCCCGATGACTATAGGGTATAGTGAAATCACGGCAAGGACACGTACATAGTGTCCCGCCTCAAAAGGGACCCTCAACGCCGCCGTGTTTATAATTCGAAATGGTTTTTACTGCATTTTACTGCTAACAAAACGGGTGACAGAGCAAAGATAGCGGACGAAAGCAGGGAGTTTGGAGTAGGAAAACGTGTTTGGACATTTTACTTGCCGGCTGTCTTACTTATTTTTTAGATAGTCCTGCGAGATACATAATACATAAATATATATGCAGGCTGGGCTGCACAAAGCTACGTTTGCTGTGAGGTCAGCGATTGTTATTTGGACGGGACGTGCCCGGTAACATTGTCTTTGCATCAGAGAATCCAATCAGGGCTTACACAGCACATCCGGTGTCCTGCATCCTGCATAGCCCTTGGCTGGCAGGCAGGCACATATGCTATGCGAACATCGATTTCAATTGCATTATGGGCTTTACAGTGATTTATGAGTCTTCGCTGGGAGACAAATAAATTGAAATGCTTGAAAACGCAATGCGAGCAGACTAGAACAGCAAAATGAACTAGTCTCTTGAACAAGGAAAGCAAAAACCACTTTAAAACATTAAGTTATTCTTTGCATAGAGCCGTTCTAATATCAATTAAATAAAATGTTCACAGAAAAATAACGATTGCTATTAATTTGATAAAACCATCAAGCTGTACTTGACTCAAACTGCAGATATAAAAGGTTTGTCTAAATCGAACCATTGTTCATACATTTTTTAGTATGATCATTTTTTAAATATCTGTTACAAAAAAAAATGCTTAGTTTATTGACACATTTATTTGCCATTTTAGCTAAAGCATATTTAATACTTTTTAAAAAAGTTTATGTGTATTGTATTATGTACAATGTACATATATAGGGGAGCGATTGCAATGCTGCGTATGCGTGATATTTATTTAGCGATAGGAATGCCGTTGGCAAGCCATGCAAACATTCATCATTAATTCCGAATGTCAAGGAAATGGAAATGCAAGTATGTTTGTTTTAAAACTGTGTGTTTGTGTTCATTTCCAGTTTGCAGTTATATTTGCGAGAGGGGAAAAAGCCAACTCTGAGCGCCTTTTAATTTCCGCAAAAGCCATTAAATTCTCTTGTTCAGCAGGCAGTAAAATGCAGACTAGGCTGTGTCGCCACTCCCCATTTGGAAACCGCCCCTCAAGTGCATCTCCTGGTGTGTTGCCTTGTCGGCTGATGACAGCAAATGACGAGCGCCGACAACAAAATGTTTACTAATGCGGACCCAATGCAATGACAGCAAAGGGGCGTTTGCGGATGCGGATGCAGATGCGGACGGTGTTGGCCCACTTTTCCGGATTGCCAATGGAGGAATGAGCATGTGGGGAGGCTTTTAACAAGGCAGCTGCTGTGACATAGCTGATGGAATGCACTCTACGACTCTCTCGAACGGGGACCGAGCTCTGATTGATGTTTATGAATTATTAACTAACTGCATGGAGAGCAGCTCAGCTCCATCCACTTCTGAGCTCCGACGAGTTGATGGATGCCAGCACGAAATGGCTGGAAAACTGCAGCACACATTGTCGCAGCCCCAGATTAAAAAGTTTAAGCCCCAGGGAAAGATTAGGTGTCAACAACAGTCTGATATTTTAAGCGGATTAGAAATGCTCTCTTACGAGAGAAGACCAAGATAACCATAATCGACAGATTAAATAAAATATCTGCAAGTAAATGTTCCACCTGGATTAAGTTGCACATCAATTGAAAAGTCCACAAAGTTCACATAAAGTTTCTCACTTTAGATCTTTTAAGTTTACGGCTTGCATGTAGCAAGTGCCTTAATGCTCATCCCACTTTTTCCACGCCCCCACAATGCAAACTTTGCTGCACATTCCGCATGCACATGGGTTTTTGGATAAGTTTTGCGCCAGAGGGTCACCAGGACATGTCAAACACTTTAGTCCAACTTTCGGTCAGTTGTTTAGATGTCTGCCTTTTGGCCATGGCTTTGGGCATTAGCCAAGATCAACAGAGTTGGCCAAGCTCTTGGACCAATTTCGTAGTGACTTTGGAGGTGATTGAATTTGGTAAAACTCGTTCCGGCTTGATGTGCTGGATATGTGTACATTGTACATATGTATGTACACAACCGCATTTTGTTATTTATCTTGCACTTGCAGCATAGCAGAGTACACAGAAGCTAGCCAATTAATCACTGTCAGCCAGCGGTGCAATGTCAGACAACACGGCGTATGCGCAACTCCGGTTGAGCTGTCACCCGCACACTTTACCGCCACCCTCCGCTTCTAAAATGTCTTAAAAATTAATTAAGCCAAGGCAGAGGGACGGACACAAAGATGGGCGGCGAACGGGATGGAAAGGA